GCTCAGACTGCTGTTGTTAAACATCAGCCCGTGTGTCAGCGAGATCTTACTGGACTTTAAATGACAACAAAGCCACTTCAGAAATATTATTAATCTGGATTATAGACTAAATGACCCTAAATTACCTTAAAAGTTTTGCACCAAGACTGAAAATTAACCCTGTGTTTACCTGCCTGATTAATCTCCCCTGCCAGAGTCAGAGATCTACACACATCCACATCAACACTCTCCACTACAGGGGCCGTCTTGCCCCCCAGCTCTGCTCTCAGCTATATTTATCTGCACTCTCACCATAAAAGGTTGCGACTGCTGCCTGGACACCCTGACCAGGGCCAACATTATTTTCGTTGTGTCGACCGCAGCCCTGTGAGCACCTACCTGTAGGGTCTGCTGGGGTATCAAGCTCTAGGTGTGGGGTTGGATCATATTTGCCTGTAAAGCTTCAAGTTTGAGGAGTTTTGGCGGGGGGTAAGTGAGCGACCGTGGTGCAGAAACAACACCAGATGCAGTTAGCTGGCTGCTAGTTGAGTTGTTCTATAATGTACGTCTGTGAAAGCATGATGGGAATGTGCCTGATTGCCTGAATCGTATACAAAAAGCTTGTTAGTTAACGATACAGTTTTAGAACATCATTAAGAACTATGTGCATTTGTGACTAGTTATAGTTAAAGTGAACTTATTCTAGTAAGAATAAGTTGATGATTGACCTGCTCTTGAACATCAACTAACCAGAAAGACAAGCAGGGAACTTGGAATTCAGGGCGTAACCGGAGAGCGGCCTGCAGCATGTCTGGATCAATACCACTCTACCAGAAGCAACATCGTCACTACGACCGTGGGTACCGTAACAAGGAGACTCAGTCCACAATGAGTCAGTACCAGTCCAGCAGCAAATACCTGGCTGGTAGCAGCTCCTTCTCCACCAACAGGAGCAGCAGAGGGTAAGGTGGTGGGGGGTTTAAGACCACCATGGAGGGTCCTAACCCAACTACGCTACCAACACCAACACCAACCCTCTCAACCTGCACCTGCACTATCACCAGAATGACATCATGTGACCGCTTCAATTCCTGCATTACTGTCTGCATGGTTTCATGAATGCTGCTGCTTGATGCCCGTCATTAAACTACTACAAACCAAACTGAACCATTGTTCAGCTACTGTACACTGGGAGGAAATAAACAGTTATGTAATGACTGTGCTGTTGTGTATGGAACTGACAGAAATAGAACTTTGACCCTATATGCATTCCAGTGTCGGGGGGCATGTTGAGAAGTGATAGTTTGTCAGTCTTCTTCAGTGTATCACAGACAAACTACTAGTGATATAACCATATGGAGCAGGGAGCCAACAGTGGGGTCAACTCTGCTGGTTGAAAAATGAACTACATGACCAGGGTTTAAAATTATTGTGATGCTGATGTAGTTGATTATTATGTTATGACGCTTGGCACTATTTTCTTTAAAGTTCAGTCCAAATTAGACCAGGACTGAATAAACATAGAGGCAAAAATATGTTAATGATTTGAAAAATGTAATGTTTTGGTCCAGGTTTGTTGATACCTATTTTGCTATGTTGCCTATTTATTGCATTCACTGTATTGCACTTCTACTGGAGTATTTAAGTTGCACACAGAGGTAAAGCTGAAGCAGTCAGCTGATCGTCTTTGATTAGATCTGATTATGAGATTTCCTAAAAAAACAAATATGAAGGCAGCTGATGTCTGTACCAGTCCTACGGCCGGACTATAAAATCCTCTCACGGTGTAAACACTTTTGATAGCACATGGCACTGTCCTGCTATAAAGACGAACATTAAGTGATGATGGTTTTACAGGCTGCGTGGTCATCGTGATGCGGCGGTGCTACGTGTAAAACTGTAGACCTTCGCATTAAAATAACCAGCTATGATTAGAGATAATGACACTGCAGCGCAGCCCGGATCCTGAAGAGTCCAGAGGATGTGAGTGGTTACAGCGACCCAGATAGATAGGGGAAAAATGAGGGTAGCTGCCCCCTCACCCTTCTTGCCCCCGCTGCCATATCAGGTCCATGTTATCTCCCACTTTGAGCTCCAACACTCAACTCTCCAGTCCTCTACAGTGACAAGGCAAATCTCTGACTTAAATTTCCATTGGACTCCAGTTTACCTAGACCACACCCCAAGACCCCAAGACCTGACCCATCAAGAACTGATGGGGTGAATGTTTCTCTTGACCAGGGAACATTGGAACTGTTTGTTAGTGTGGAGAGATGAGGTACTACAGGCTGATACTCTGACCTTCTTGTGTTGGATTGGTGGTTTTGGTTCAGTCTTGACCAATGTAGGACTCCAAGGTTTCTGAGGTAAAGCCAATAGTTGTGGTCGATGTTGTGAGAGTCTAATAATAAACAGGTTTATTTTCACAAACTAAAAAAGGTGTGAAAACCAGTATCATCTGGACTAAACCATCAACGCTACCACCTCACTGAACCCTGTTCTACCACCTCATCTGCCCCCCCCCACCCCTTCCCCTTCACCTATTCATTCATTGTCTCGTCAAGCGCTCGGGACCAGTGCCCTTGTCTCTGTCTAG